GTTACTAGCATACCTGTAACATAGAGGTACATACTGTTACTAGCATACCTGTAACATAGAGGTACATACTGTTACTAACATACCTGTAACATATAGGTACATACTGTTACTAGCATACCTGTAACATAGAGGTACATACTGTTACTAGCATACCATTTTTTAAAAAGATATTTAAACAATTTTGTATGCTGAACTGAAGGTTTAGATATGAACTGCCTGTTGAATACAAAGTGACCTGTGAACCTTGACTTGTTGACAAGGAGGTCACAGAGTTTAACTTACTGAATCATGAGAAGGTAGACCTCTGGACGGTTAAACAGTTTCTTGTACAGTGTTTTGAACTCCTCACACGTCACCTTTTCACTTCCTTTAGCTGATTCAAGCTCCTAAAATCGTAAAAAAAGATTTTTTAAGTTCATTGGCAAAGCATAGAAGTAATAACTGAAACTTTGAGGTCAATATGTTACAAACCATTATTAAACAACAAAATGATAAGGAATATGGTGGTGTTTATTACATACCTCAGACTACCAGTAATAAAGTTAGTTCATTCTTTTATTCTGTATTAAAGGCCTCCAGCCCACAGTACAAGTTTAATTAACAATCTTGATGTAAGCCACTTAACACTGTAGCTTTAATTTATTGACATTAACATGAGACATATTGTATGTACTATAGTAAAATAAGAAATGCAATACATGTATGTATTAGTAACAAACTAGCAATCCTATAATAAGCTATAATTCATTCTTTCTGATAAAGTTAATATTATATATCATAGCCTTGATCGAGATTATGTCAACAAACTTAACTTTATATCATTATAAACAGTTTTATAACACTTACTTTGAGTTTTTGATTGACATGTTGAATGACAAAGTTTTCATTGAGTTTTTTCAGGAGGTTTACAGTGCCTTTGTGATCCAACAATCCTGTGTTTATATCAGCCTCACCATGGAAACATTCCTCCAACCAGGTATACAGAGGTCAAGGTCAACAAAGTTCCTTTACTTACAATAGTCAATAAAGGTGTCAATAATGTCAACAAAGGTCATACAAGGTTATACCAGTCTATGTCAGCATAGGCCACAACATTTCTCAATACGGTCAACAAAGGTCATACAAGGTCATGGCAGTCTATGTCAGCATAGGTCACAACATTTCTCAATACGGTCAACAAAGGTCATACAAGGTCATGGCAGTCTATGTCAGCATAGGTCACAACATTTCTCAATACGGTCAACAAAGGTCATACAAGGTCATGGCAGTCTATGTCAGCATAGGTCACAACATTTCTCAATACGGTCAACAAAGGTCATACAAGGTCATGGCAGTCTATGTCAGCATAGGTCACAACATTTCTCAATACGGTCAACAAAGGTCATACAAGGTCATGGCAGTCTATGTCAGCATAGGTCACAACATTTCTCAATACGGCCAACAAAGGTCATACAAGGTCATGGCAGTCTATGTCAGCATAGGTTATAACATTCTATAACAAGGTCGATAAAGGTCATACCAGGTCATACCAGTCTAACAAAAGTAGCTATAAGAAATATAAGAACATTTCCTCAAATGTAAACAATTATAAAGAAGTGAATGGGAAATTTTCCAGGAAGCAGTATACTGGTATGTTATTTTTAAGGATATTCTTCTCGTTCCTTGTCAGTATCAACTGTTTCCGAATCAGCTGAAATCATCAAAATGTATAGAATTAAGAAATATTTGTTACCTTGTCATAGTGATAAAAGCTTAATATTTAAGTATCTAATGTTCCTTCACCAAAACATTACTTAAGTACAGTGAAACTGGCCTCACCAATAATAATGGCTACTAAGCCTTCCATTTTATATAAATTGGCGATGTTTATTTAAATTATATGATAAATGTAACAATGTCAATCAGACAATCAGGATGTATTAATATAACCATCAGGACAAGTATTGTTATGATGTATCAAAGTTACACTGGCTACTTTCCTACAATCTTACGATCACTCGGTCAGTCACCGGTCAGCGTCATTTACCTTCTATTTATCTCACACTTTTAATCTTAAAAGTGGACCAAGGTCAAATATATGACCCTTAGTTATTCATAAGAACAGGTTACAAGATTTTAACACATTTGGTCCCAGTGTTTTTGAAAGTCTAACAAGGTCATTCAGCTGAACAAACTTGGGAGCCCTAAATCCTAGCAACCTACTGGCCAAATATCATCACCCTGTGACTTTGGTTATTGTGACCTAGAAAGTGAGTCAAGATCAGTCATTTAAACAGATTTGGTAGCCCTTTATCCTGCATGCTGTATATCATCACCCTAAGCCTTGGCTACTCCGAAGAAATAATTAAAATTGTTTTAGCACATTTGCCCCCTGTGACCTTGAATACTGGGATTCATTTGAACCAAAGTTATAGCCCTTCATTTCAGCATTATAGCATCAACCTGTGCCTTTTAGTTATTCAGAGAAGTTAATTTAAGATTTTAATGCATTTTACTTGTAACCTTGAAAGCCATATTTGGCACCATCTCAGGAAGCTACCAGCCTAATATCATAACTCTGGGCCTATCAGTTTTTCAGAATAAGTCATTGGAAGGTTTTGGCGTATATGACCCTTGTAACATTATATATAGTTCAAGGTCATTTTTATTTGCAAACTTTTAAGCCGGGGCTATGTACCAGAAAGCTACCAACTAAATATCACTCTAGGTCTTTCTATTCTTAAGAAAATTTAACTCAAAGGAAAATTTGAGGTATGACAGACACTGTGTCACAGTATAAGCTTACTTGACCTTCCAGCAGGTGACCTAACAATAAAAACTCTAAAGGAAAGTTTCATAAAGTTTAATAATGACATATCTGAGAGGTCAAGGAAGGACAACGGTAAGTGATAGGTACAGAAATAGTTAATATATAGGCTACAGTGAGAGACAGACAGCAGGCACAACTTACAAGGAGAGGGAAGGTAATTTACAGGCATTCACAGAGAAAAGGGAAGTTAATTTACAGGTATTTACAGAAGAAGGGGAGGTAATTTACAGGTATTAACAGAGGAAGGGGGGGTACTTTACAGGTATTTACAGAGGAAGGGGAATTAATTTAAATATATTTACAAAGAAATCTGAGGTATTTATTTACATGCATTTACAAAGTAAGGGGAGGTAATTAACAGGTATTTACACATTCTACAGCAATATAGTTCTAGGTTTTATTCTGTAGACAATGCTAAATGACTTTTATGAATAAGGAGTAAATATCATGATCAACTGAAGCACATAAATCTTTTAATATAAATGAATTAACCAGTAAATTTATTTTTGAACTGTAAACCATAGTTTTTATCACAAAAAACTTCCTACAGCCATTCAGCAATATACGAAATTCACTTCACAACACCATCATCAATGATCAATTTTTATATTTCACGACATACATGTAAGTAATGGTGCAAATGTAATGTTAATTATCTTCAACTCATTGCAAAAACTTTCAATGTGTTATGTGAACCTTCGTAAAATATCATGATATTAACATATACACTATACCCTTATATAGTCTCTGTGAGGTCTGTAATAATATAGACTATCAACACAAGCTGTGAGGTCTGTAATGATACAGACTACTAACAAAAGGTGTGTGGACTGTAATGATATAGACTACCAACACAAGATGTGAGGACTGTAATGATATAGACTACCAACACAAGGTGTGAGGAATGTAGTAATATAGACAACCAACACAAGGTGTGAGGACTGTAGTTATATAGACAACCAACACAAGATGTGAGGGCTCTAGTGATATAGACTACCAACACAAGGTGTGTGGACTGTAATGATAAAGACAACCAACACAAGGTGTGAGGTCTGTAATGATAAAGACTACCAACACAAGGTGTGAGGACTGTAGTTATATAGACAACCAACACAAGATGTGAGGGCTGTAATGATATAGACTACCAACACAAGGAGTGAAGACTGTAATGATATAGACTACCAACACAGGGTGTGTGGACTGTAGTGATATAGACTACCAACACAAGATGTAAGGGCTGTAGTGATATAGACTACCAACACAAGATGTAAGGGCTGTAGTGATATAGACTACCAACACAAGGTGTGAGGACTGTAATGATATAGACTACCAACGCAAGGTGTGTGGACTGTAATGATATAGACTACCGACACAAGGTGTGAGGACTGTAATGATAAAGACTACCAACACAAGGTGTAAGGGTTGTAGTGATATAGACTAACAACACAAGGTGTGTGGACTGTAATGATAAAGACAACCAACACAAGGTGTGAGGTCTGTAATGATAAAGACTACCAACACAAGGTGTGAGGACTGTAATGATATAGACAACCAACACAAGGTGTGTGGACTGTAATGATATAGACTACCAACACAAGGTGTGAGGACTGTAATGATAAAGACTACCAACACAAGGTGTGAGGACTGTAATAATATAGACAACCAACACAAGGTGTGAGGACTGTAGTGATATGGACTACCGACACAAGGTGTGAAGACTGTAATGATATAGACTACCAACACAAGGTGTGAGGACTGTAATGATAAAGACTACCGACACAAGGTGTGAGGACTGTACTGATAAAGACTACCAACACAAGGTGTGAGGACTGTAATGATATAGACTACCAACACAAGATGTAAGAGCTGTAGTGATATAGACTACCAACTCAAGGTCTTTGATGTTTGTACTGATAAAGTGTTGTCACCAACACAAAGTGGAAGAGTTATACATTGAAGGTATTATAGGTTTGGTCATCTTTTTAACAATATCTTACCTGCTTGGACTGTAACCTCTGTTTAAACAGGAAAACAACAGATATCACCATGGTAACCATAAAAGTTTTCACCATGGTCACTATAAATATATCCATATGGTTACCATACAGATATCATCATGGTTATCATACAGATATGTCCATGGTTACCATACAGATATGTCCATGGTTACCATACAGATATGTCCATGGTTACCATACAGATATGTCCATGGTTACCATACAGATATCACCATAGTCACCATACAGATATATACATGGTTACCATACAGATATGTCCATGGTTACCATACAGATATCATCATGGTTATTATACAGATATGTCCATGGTTACCATACAGACATGTCCATAGTTATCATACAGATATTATCATGGTTACCATACAGATATGTCCATGGTTACCATATAGATATGTCCACGGTTACTTTGTGCTACTATGAAAGGTACCTCGGTTTCATTGACTGTGCTTAAAGGGTTATAATTTATTGCCATGTATTTGCATAATTAGAAGTGAAAATCAAAATTAATGCTATCATAAATAATCAATATATATAGGGCATCCATAAAATTGAATCATGAAACATTAATCTCAAAAAGCAAATAAAATGAAGACCTACATTTTCCTTCCAAAAATAATGACGGAAATTAGTTCTTCATTACTTTACTGTTGGCAAGACTATGTTTGTTTAGCATCAAAGTAACTACATGTAAGTCAGTCAACTGCTAACTACTGTAGTGTCTTTCACTATTTCCTATTTTTTTTACCTGTTTTCTGAAATCTGATGAGTGCCTTTATGCCAGTCATCCAAAATGCTGCAGTTTCCACAGAGTCGGCCACGAGGTAGAGAGGTTTGCTGTCATTTGTAAACTTGATAGTAAAACACTGATTAGCATTCTGACACAGATGGTGCACTTTCTTATGTTTAAAGGCGTCATCCTTATTTCCTAGAACAAGTTCCTTAAAACTGGAAGTCGGCACTGAAACAATATAGGTACATTTAATAGTCAGTCTGTGGGCACTGAAACAACACAGGTACATTTTATAGTCAGTCTGTGGGCACTAAAACAACATAGGTACATTTAATAGTCAGGCTGTGGGCACTAAAACAACATAGGTACATTTAATAGTCAGTCTGTGGACAATGCAACAACACAGGTACATTTTAGAGTCAGTCTGTGGGCACTGACACAACACATGTACATTTTATAGTCATTCTGTGGGCACTGAAACATTTACATAGGTACATATAATAGTCAGTCTGTCGGCACTGACACAACACAAGTACATTTTATAGTCAGTCTGTGGGCACTAAAACAACACAGGTACATTTTATAGTCAGTCTGTGAGCACTGAAAAAACATAGGTACATTTTATAGTCAGTCTGTGAGCACTGAAACAACATAGGTACATTTAATAGTCAGTCTGTGGGCACTGACACAACACATGTACATTTTATATTCAGTCTGTGGGCACTAAAACAACACAGGTACATTTAATAGTCAGTCTGTGGGCACTGACACAACACATGTACATTTTATAGTCAGTCTGTGGGCACTGAAACAACATAGGTACATGTTATAGTCAGTCTGTGGGCACTAAAACAACACAGGTACATTTAATAGTCAGTCTGTGGGCACTGACACAACACATGTACATTTTATAGTCAGTCTGTGGGCACTAAAACAACACATGTACATTTAATAGTCAATCTGTGGGCACTGACACAACACATGTACATTTTATAGTCAGTCTGTGGGCACTGAAACAACATAGGTACATGTTATAGTCAGTCTGTGGGCACTAAAACAACACAGGTACATTTAATAGTCAGTCTGTGGGCACTGACACAACACATGTACATTTTATAGTCAGTCTGTGGGCACTGAAACAACATAGGTACATGTTATAGTCAGTCTGTGGGCACTAAAACAACACAGGTACATTTAATAGTCAGTCTGTGGGCACTGACACAACACATGTACATTTTATAGTCAGTCTGTGGGCACTGAAACAACATAGGTACATGTTATAGTCAGTCTGTGGGCACTAAAACAACACAGGTACATTTAATAGTCAGTCTGTGGGCACTGACACAACACATGTACATTTTATAGTCAGTCTGTGGGCACTGAAACAACATAGGTACATGTTATAGTCAGTCTGTGGGCACTAAAACAACACAGGTACATTTAATAGTCAGTCTGTGGGCACTGACACAACACATGTACATTTTATAGTCAGTCTGTGGGCACTGAAACAACATAGGTACATGTTATAGTCAGTCTGTGGGCACTAAAACAACACAGGTACATTTAATAGTCAGTCTGTGGGCACTGACACAACACATGTACATTTTATAGTCAGTCTGTGGGCACTGAAACAACATAGGTACATGTTATAGTCAGTCTGTGGGCACTAAAACAACACAGGTACATTTAATAGTCAGTCTGTGGGCACTGACACAACACATGTACATTTTATAGTCAGTCTGTGGGCACTGAAACAACATAGGTACATGTTATAGTCAGTCTGTGGGCACTAAAACAACACAGGTACATTTAATAGTCAGTCTGTGGGCACTGACACAACACATGTACATTTTATAGTCAGTCTGTGGGCACTGAAACAACATAGGTACATGTTATAGTCAGTCTGTGGGCACTAAAACAACACAGGTACATTTAATAGTCAGTCTGTGGGCACTGACACAACACATGTACATTTTATAGTCAGTCTGTGGGCACTGAAACAACATAGGTACATGTTATAGTCAGTCTGTGGGCACTAAAACAACACAGGTACATTTAATAGTCAGTCTGTGGGCACTGACACAACACATGTACATTTTATAGTCAGTCTGTGGGCACTGAAACAACATAGGTACATGTTATAGTCAGTCTGTGGGCACTAAAACAACACAGGTACATTTAATAGTCAGTCTGTGGGCACTGACACAACACATGTACATTTTATAGTCAGTCTGTGGGCACTGAAACAACATAGGTACATGTTATAGTCAGTCTGTGGGCACTAAAACAACACAGGTACATTTAATAGTCAGTCTGTGGGCACTGACACAACACATGTACATTTTATAGTCAGTCTGTGGGCACTGAAACAACATAGGTACATTTTATAGTCAGTCTGTGGGCACTAAAACAACATAGGTACATTTTATAGTCAGTCTGTGAGCACTGAAACAACACGTGTACATTTTATAGTCAGTCTGTGGGCAGACACAACACATGTACATTTTATATTCAGTCTGTGGGCACTAAAAACAACATAGGTACATTTTATAGTCAGTCAGTGGGCACTGACACAACACAGGTACATTTTATAGTCAGTCTGTGAGCACTGAAACAACACGTGTACATTTTATAGTCAGTCTGTGGGCAGACACAACACATGTACAGTTTATATTCAGTCTGTGGGCACTAAAAACAACATAGGTGCATTTTATAGTCAGTCAGTGGGCACTGACACAACACAGGTACATTTTATAGTCAGCCTGTGGGCACTAAAACAACACATGTACATTTTATAGTCAGTCTGTGGGCACTGACACAACACATGTTCATTTAATAGTCAGTCTGTGGGCACTGAAACAACATAGGAGTCTGTGGGCACTAAAACAACACAGGTACATTTTATAGTCAGTCTGTGAGCACTGAAACAACACGTGTACATTTTATAGTCAGTCTGTGGGCACTGACAAAACACATGTACATTTTATATTCAGTCTGTGGGCACTAAAACAACATAGGTACAATTTATAGTCAGTCAGTGGGCACTGACACAACACATGTACATTTTCTATTCAGTCTGTGGGCACTAAAACAACACAGGTACATTTAATAGTCAGTTTGTGGGCACTGACACAACACAGGTACATTTCATAGTCAGTCAGTGGGCACTGACACAACACATGTACATTTTATATTCAGTCTGTGGGCACTAAAACAACATAGGTGCATTTTATAGTTAGTCTGTGGGCACTGAAACAACACAGGTACATTTAATAGTCAGTCTGAGGGCACTGACACAACACAGGTACATTTTATAGTCAGTCAGTGGGCACTGACACATCACATGTACATTTTATATTGAGTCTGTGGGCACTAAAACAACACAGGTACATTTAATAGTCAGTCTGTGGGCACTGACACAACACAGGTACATTTTACAGTCAGTCTGTGGGCACTGACACAACACATGTACATTTTATATTCAGTCTGTGGGCACTAAAACAACATAGGTACATTTTATAGTCAGTCTGTGGGCACTAAAACAACACATGTATGTTTTATAGTCAGTCTGTGGGCACTAAAACAACATAGGTACATTTTATAGTCAGTCTGTGAGCACTGAAACAACACATGTACATTTTATAGTCAGTCTGTGGGCACTGACACAACACATGTATGTTTTATAGTCAGTCAGTGGGCACTGACACAACACAGGTACATTTTATAGTCAGTCTGTAGGCACTAAAACAACACAGGTACATTTTATAGTCAGTCTGTGGGCACTAAAACAACATAGGTACATTTTATAGTCAGTCAGTGGGCACTGCAACAACACATGTATAATAAATATTCATGCAGTCAGTTCACACTGAAACAACACATGTACATTTTGTAGTCAGTCTGCACACACTCAAATATAACTCTATCCAATGCAAGCATTCAGAAAGTGGCTTCCATAAACAAAACAGGCTTACACGGTTACAGAAAAAAGGATGTCCTTCTCGTTGACACATCTTAGCTAGATTTTGTTGTTGTTCAGCTCATAGAAATAATCGAAGTAGATTGGATACCAAATATCAACACTTGTCTGATACCTAGAATTTCTATGATTATAAAGGGAGACAACTCACCTTCACCTCCATGTTTGCTGGGTTTCCACTTCAGAGCCAATCTGTCTTCACTGAGACAGAACATTTTGTTGAGGTGCACCTGGCCATTCCGAATCTTGGCCAGTTTGGAGCCTTTTTGCATGAATAACCAGGCTTCTTGTGCTGAAATAAAGACACCATTTAATACACCATAGTTTTATAGTAGGTTTTGATGGCCCAGAATTACTGAGACAGAATTGGTCACTTATAGTTTGCTCTGTTACGTGTCCCGACAACCACGCCTTCTCAACACTTGTTTGAGGTACGTCCTATTGGTCATATAGCCAGATCCTCCCTCTAGCATATCTGCTTAAACCACAATAACTATCAGGTGTCAGGAAATTCTATTTGCACCTCACCATATCATAAGTCGATCTTGATATTCTTGTGAATACTAGCATGCTTCTTGAGCTTGTCAACACCATGTGTCCTTATACCAATGCCATCATCTATGAACCTTTTGTAAAAAATTAAGGAAGGAGCTACGATCTATAAAAATCTACCCCCTAGGGTTTAAAAATTTCAGTTTATTTTCAATGGGGTTAATGATTGATTTTTTCTTAATCTGTTGACCTTGTTGATGCAATGCAATGTTGACATTATGGAGTCACTGCAATGTTTACATGACCTTAATGCAGTGCTGACATGACCTTAATGCAGTGTTGACATAACCTTAATGCAGTGTTGAGTTACCTAAATGCAGTGTTGACACGACCTTAATGCAGTGTTGACATGACCTTAATGCAGTATTGACATCACCTTAATGCAATGTTGACATGACATTAATACAATGTTGATATGACCTTAATGCAGTGTTGACATGACATTAATGCAATGTTGGCATGACTTAAATGCAATGTTGACATAACCTTAATGCAGTGTTGAAATGACCTTAATGCAATGCTGACATAACCTTAATGCAATGTTTACATGACCTTAATGCAGTTTTGACATGACCTTAATGCAATGTTGACTTGACCTTAATGCAGTGTTGACATCACATTCATGCAGTGTTTACATTACCTTAATGCAGTGTTGACATGACCTTAATGCAATGTTGACATGACCTTAATGCAATGTTGACATGACCTTAATGCAATGTTGACATAACCTTCATGCAGTGTTGACATGACCTTAATGCAGTATTGAAATTACCTTAATGCAATGTTGACATGACCTTAATGCAATGTTGACATGACCTTAATGCAATGTTGACATAACCTTCATGCAGTGTTGACATGACCTTAATGCAGTATTGACTTGACCTAAATGCAATGTTGACATGACCTTAATGCAATGTTGACATGACATTTATGCAATTTTGATATGACCTTAATGCAGTGTTGACATGACCTTAATGCAATGTTGACATAACCTTCATGCAGTGTTGACATGACCCTAATGCAGTATTGACATGACCTTAATGCAATGTTGACATGACCTTAATGCAATGCTGACATGACCTTAATGCAATGCTGACATGACCTAAATGCAGTATTGACTTGACCTAAATGCAATGTTGACATGACCTTAATGCAATGTTGACTTGACCTTAATGCAATGTTGACATTACCTTAATGCAATGTTGACATTACCTTAATGCAGTGTTGACATAACCTTAATGCAATGTTAACATGACCTTAATGCAATGTTGACATGACCTTAATACAATGTTGACATTACTTTAATGCAATGTTGACATGACCTTAATGCAGTATTGACTTGACCTAAATGCAATGTTGACATTACCTTAATGCAGTGTTGACATAACCTTAATGCAATGTTAACATGACCTTAATGCAATGTTGACTTGACCTTAATGCAATGTTGACATGACCTTAATGCAATATTGACATGACCTTAGTGCAATGTTGACATGACCTTAATGCAGTGTTGACATGACCTAAATGCAGTATTGACATGACCTTAATGCAATATTGAAATGACCTTAATGCAATGCTGAAATGACCTAAATGCAGTATTGACTTGACCTAAATGCAATGTTGACATTACATTAATGCAATGGTGACATGACCTTAATGCAACGCTGACATGACCTAAATGCAGTGTTGACATGACATTAATGCAATGTTGACATGTTCTTAATGCAATGTTGACATGCCCTTAATGCAGTATTGACTTGACCTAAATACAATGTTGACATGACCTTAATGCAATATTGAAATGACCTTAATGCAATGTTAACATGACCTTAATGCAATGTTGACATGACCTTAATGCAATGTTGACATTACATTAATGCAATGTTGACATGACCTTAATGCAGTATTGACTTGACCTAAATGCAATGTTGACATGACCTTAATGCAATGTTGACATTACATTAATGCAATGTTGACATGACCTTAATGCAGTATTGACATGACCTTAATGCAATGTTGACTTGACCTTAATGCAATGTTGACATGACCTTAGTGCAATGTTGACATGACCTTAATGCAGTGTTGACATGACTTAAATTCAGTGTTGACATGACCTTAATGCAGTATTTACATGACCTTAATGCAGTGTTGACATGACTTAAATGCAGTGTTGACATGACCTTAATGCAGTGTTGACATGACTTAAATGCAGTGTTGACATGACCTTAATGCAGTATTTACATGACCTTAATGCAGTGTTGACATGACCTTAATGCAGTGTTGACATCACATTCATGCAGTGTTTACATTACCTTAATGCAGTGTTGACATGACCTTAACGCAGTATTGACATAATGTAAATCCCTCTGTCTTAACCTTAGTACCAAGGACAGGTACGTACCGGTGTATCCATACTTTTCTGGGAGATGTACAGTGGGAGATATCCTTGTCTCACCCTATTCATAACAATTGTATGACGTCACGTCAACCCTGCATTAAGCCTGTAAAGTTAACATTACATTATGTATATGATACACAATGGGAGAACAGGGTAAGAGAAAAAAATCGTTCACCCCCTTGTGGGTGATATAGGGGAATCTCAACCCTCAAGGAAGATCCTTTAGTTGCCAGACAAGAGGCTTTAAGTTCAACCTTGGGTTGAGATTTCCCTATCTCACTCCCAAGGGGGTGAATGATTCTATAAATCTTTCTCTAAAAGAAATACGGCTACAAGGTAAGATTTTGTTTTTAAATATTCAATATGTTTCTAAAATCCCTATTTACCCAGTGTTTTGTGTTTCAAGGACATAAATACTGTATATAAGCTTACCTCTAACTTCGTTGATTGGTACATCTGTAGCCGATTCCAGCTCAGAGGTGCGCCTAATGCTCAAGCTGGACCTTCCACTCATTCCCGTCAGTGATGGGGATCTGTCGAAGGTCATACTCTGTGACCTTGAACTCCAGGCCATCATTCAGTTTACAATTCAATGACACTTGATATATGAGTGTCCGGTTTCTTACCAGGTAAGTGTTAGGTTTTAAATCTCAATCTCTGATTTTACATATTCTGTAGGATCCTGATAATTTTACAGCTCAGTCCGTTATCTCCACAACACAACATTGAATGTAGTTTAGATATGTGGATGTAACATCAGATACAGTTCACTGTGCGGTGGCTCTAGGGTTTGTACCACGTAGAGGTCTGCCCGGTCATGTCAGCTGTTCAGGCCTTAACTCACTCTGCAATATTAGTAAGAATGATTCATGAACGAACGTAGGATCCACCTAACAAACATGTCATATGTGACGTAAGTAAATATCACAGTATAGTCAGATCAATTGAACCTCAGGATTAGTGAGATTTCTAATATCTAAAATCTCTTTCCCTTTAAGCAATATCGTACACTGGACACATTTTCAGATTACTACTAGGTAGTGTCAATACTTAACCCCAAAGGGATTGACACACCAATACATTATGCTGTAAATAGCCAAAACATCGTCACCACGTTAAATGTCGCTAACCGACATGTCAATATTTTTCTTACCCTAGTAATTCCAGTATGTAAATAATCCTTTAGGTTAGTTAATAAACCAATCACAAATAAGGTAGACGTTGTGAACTAATAAGGTTTTTTTCCTTGTAGAGAAGTCCTTGTCAATAGCGAACCTCTGTTGTGACATGCAGCAGGGACTGGAGACTAACACTGACACAGAAAAGTACCACTACTTGTCACACAATTATTTAAACATTTATTTCATTCTCAACCTAGTCATGGTCGTCTGCTTGTGACCTTGGCCATTGGTAAGGGCTCTTGTTCAATGACCTTGACTTTGTTAACATTCTGACTTATGAAACCCATTTATCTCCCGATGGATTATCAACATTTCAAAGGAAGTTTAACAATAAAAACCCAAATCTTATAAATAAGTGTTTTATAACCATACACTGACCGCACACATTAACAATCATATTCTATCTTGTACAACACACTATTTGAAGCATTTCAAATATTATGTAAAAAGCACTGCTATTAATAAAAGCATTTGATAAAACATGAATATATATTCTCACGGGGGGTTTATGTAGTGAAGGATCTGAATTTATCAAATATAGATTTTGCTCTACACCCGTATAAACTTACCTATATTATTATAATCTTTCTATCTATATAAATAAGTCATGCATTACAAGTGACTAAAACCAATTATACAGTTAATTACGTTACAGTGTTTACACGTCACCATTAGATACACATCACGCAGACACTTTAATCCCATACCTTGTAAGTTAGTGGTATCTCGTAAATACAATCAATACAATCATGTACCTTGTATGTTGGTGATATCTCGTAAATACAATCATGTACCATGTATGTTGGTGATATCTCGTAAATACAATCATGTACCTTGTATGTTGGTGATATCTCGTAAATACAATCCTGTACCTTGTATGTTAGTGATATTTCTCAAAAACAATCCTGTTCCTCACATATTTGTGATATTTCTGAAACAAAATCTCCTGAGCATGATGACAATTCAGTGGTATAGCCAGCTTATTATACCTGTACAATTTAACATTATTTTAAATGTCTACATTTGAAACACATCAAGAGTCCCCTATATATACATTTATACGTGTCCCTCTCACAATGCAGACAGCTTTTTAATATTTCTTTACCCCAGATTTATTGTCCTACAGTGTTAGCTCAGGTATTTCATAATAATTCCTTGGTTGTGTAAATATCAAAAACATAAAATGAGCTTTACTATAAGTGTTGAATCTCGAGTCCCGTGGCCCACCCCCATAACAATGAAAATATACCATAGTGTGTACCAGGGGGTCGTCAATGCAGGTTCACTTTCGCCTTTTTCCGTACCGAGGGCAAATTTATCGTGGCAGAAAAAATACTTTATATATATCATATCATACATAGTAATGTTTACATAGGATTAGAAAGAAATATCAGATGGTTTAGGGTTTTAGATCATAACTAAGTAAACTAGCACACCCCACACCCCAGGGATGGTATGTATCTACCAGATAGTACTACCAATAGTATCTACTAGGCAGTACTACAAATAGTATCTACCAGGTAGTACTACCGATACTATCTACCATATAGTACTACAAATAGTATCTACAAGGTAGTACTACCAATAGTATCTACCAGGTAGTACTACCGATACTATCTACCATGTAGTACTACAAATAGTATCTACCAGGTAGTACTACCAATAATATCTACCATATAGTACTACAAATAGTATCTACCATATAGTACTACCGATACTATCTACCATATAGTACTACCGATACTATCTACCATATAGTACTGCCGATACTATCTACCGGGTAGTACTACCAATACTATCTACCAGATAGTACTACCAATACTATCTACCATATAGTACTACCGATACTATCTACCATATAGTACTACAAATAGTATCTACCATATAGTACTACCGATACTATCTACCATATAGTACTACCGGTACTATCTACCATATAGTACTGCCGATACTATCTACCGGGTAGTACTACAAAAAGGATCTACCATATAGTACTACCAATACTATCTACCAGATAGTACTACCAATAATATACTCTACCATATAGTACTCCCAATAGTATCTACCAGATGGTTCTACAAATAATATCACCATATAGTACTACTAAAAATATCTGCCATAAAGTATTACAAATAATATCTACCCTATAGTACTACAAATAGCATCTACCATATAGTACACCAATACTATCTACCGGATAGTACTACCAATAATATACACCAGATAGTTCTACAAATAATATCACCATATAGTACTACTAAAAATATCTGCCATAAAGTATTACAAATAATATCTACCAGAGAGTACTACAAATAGTATCTGCCATATAGTACTACCGATACTATCTACCATATGCATGTAGTACTCCCAATAATATCTACCAGGTAGTTCTCCCGATACTATCTACCGGGTAGTACTACAAAAAGGACCTACCATATAGTACTACCAATAATATATACCATATAGTACTACCAATACTATCTCCCAGATAGTTCTACAAATAGTATCCACCATATAGTACTACGGGTACTATCTACCATATGCATGTAGTACTCCCAATAATATCTACCATATAGTCCTACTAAAAATATCTGCCATAAAGTATTACAAATAATATCTACCATATAGTCCTACTAAAAATATCTGCCATAAAGTATTACAAATAATATCTACCAGGTAGTACTACCAATAGTATACACTAGATAGTACTACCAATACTATCTACCAGATAGTACTACCAATAGTATCTACCAGATAGTTCTACAAATAATATCCACCATATAGTACTACCAATAATATCTACCATATAGTACTACCAATAGTATCTACCATATAGTACTACCAATACTATCTACCATATAGTACTACCAATAGTATCTACCATTTAGTACTACCAATAATATCTACCATATAGTACTACCAATACTATCTACCATATAGTACTACCAAAAATATCTACCATATAGTATTACAAATAATATCCACCATATAGTACTACAAATAATATCCACCATATAGTACTACCAATACTATCTACCATATAGTACTACAACTAGTATCTACCAGGTAGTACTACCAATACTATCTACCATTTAGTACTACAAATAATATCCACCATATAGTACTACAAATAGTATCTACCAGATATTACTACCAATACTATACACCAGATAGTTCTACCAATACTATCTACCATGTAGTACTACCAATACTATCTACCATGTAGTACTACCAATAATATACAC